TGGCCTTGATGCTGGAGGGGGTGGGTGGTGAATGGGTACATACATAATAATATAGCCAACATTAATTAATTATTAACAACACATATCAGCACTTAAATGATTAAAGAATAAAAACAATGTAAAGGTCAAATCTGGTACATGATATGTGCATGCATGCATTTTTCCATTCAGTCTGTTGAGACTTAAACTTGTTTAATAAATGTTGAAAGTAACATTAGACATGTCTGATGTAAACAGGTTATGTTATTTGATATTGCCTCTATGTCTAGCCTAGAGGTGTCAAGTATTAACCGGTTAACCGGTTAACCGCCGATAATGCCTTGACCGGTCTGTGTTTTTATGGGCGGTTAGTTGACCGTGTATAATTCTGTTATTTCCCGCGCTTATTTTGCATGCTAATCCGTTTGGTTTTATGGTGTCAGTTTCACGTAAGCTACTCATACATGTCATAAGTCCTATAACTCCTTACAAACATCCAATCAGCAACTTTAATCCCTGCCACATTGCTTTCCCGCGCTTACTTTGCATTTTAATCTGTTTGTTTTTCAAGCGTCAGTTTCATGTGAGCTACTCATACATGTGATAGGTCCGATAATTCCTTACAAACATCCAATCAGCAACTTTAATTCCTGCCACATTGCTTTCCCGCGCTTACTTACATAGAATAGAGTAAAGCTTGAGGAACGTAAAAAATAAACGCCGATATATCATTTTTCCAATTTTTTTCAACTTTCAAGATCGAAGATGAAGATTTCATTTGAAATTATCAGTTCAAATTTCCCGCCGGTTAACCGACTTTAACCGGTAAAAACACCTGGTTAACCGGTTAATGCTCAAGCGGTTAATTGACACCACTAGTCTAGCCTCCCAATCTCTATCACTGTGAGTTTCACAGCCTCACCCCAGTCTCTAACCATACATCATGACATAAGTAGAACACCGTAAACTTCACGGACATCTAATACGTTCTTCGAACTGCCCTGGAATTATATCAATAACAGGACTGGCATCCAGATCCAAGTATTTTTCAAGACCGCCGACTCTCGTTGGGCTATTTATCCCTATTGACTCAGTTGTTCATATAAATTTACGTACCTTAGATGCTTTGTAATCGACGTAGATAGAAAATATTGTTTCATAAATTGTTCTGAAAAGCGATAATTATTACTAAATGTACTTTGAACAGGTCGACTGACCAAAAAGTCGGACTTCTGGCACAAGGTCACGTGACCAAATAGAATTTGTATAAATAAAATTGATGACGTCACCGCAATCAGTGTAGGTCAGGTCAAAAGTCATCCATCTTGCCATTTGCCCCGCGTATTCTTACCAGTCGACAAAAAACGATGAAATCACGTTAAAAATAAAATAAACACTTTAAAATTGAGGCTGATTGAATGTGACAAGACTCCATTGAATACAGCTGTGCAATTTACAGTCACCAAGATGAGCTAATTTCGGAGAGATTCGGGAATTAAAAAAGGTAAGCCATTCCGGTTTCCCAACTTCAAGTGTTTGAAATCCCAGAATTTCCTTTCGCCAGAAACATTCTCTCTGACTGTGGTAAACTTATGAAAAGTTTTCCTTTAGACAAAGGTCTTATTTAAACCATATTCTAAGAATCGTATGTAGGCCCATATGGAAAAGTATATTCATAATGTACATGAATGACATTTGTATATTTCAGATTTTTTAGTTTTTTGTGCAATAAGCCTGTGCCGTCTTGTAATTTGAAGAATTTCAGCCATGTTTATTGAAAATAACATGGCAGAGAAACATCCAAATATAAGAGGCAACACACTTCATAAGCCAAACTAGAAGCAATCCAAGATGAAGATACAAATGTCATTCATGATGTACATTATGAATATACCTTTCCGTCGGTTATATATATTTTGCAAGTGGATCCAAGAGACCAAGTGGGCGAGTCAATTATTTTGGAGGGGTGGCAAGATACACACATTTCAATTTTGTATATAGTGAATTCCCAGTGATTGATTCCAGTACAGTAAAACTGTCATAATGAAGACCTCTTTAGTGAAGATCTGTGCCCAGTGAACACATGACTCTACTAAAAACCAAGTTTGCTAAAAGTAAACAATCACATGCCTTGAATCATATGTACAGGTATCAATTAATAAACATATCTTTATAAAAACCATGGACTCTATTGAAAGCCCATGATTAAAACAGATGCCCGGAGTACATAAAAGCTAACTCATATTGATATAATCCCCAATCTAAGCATGTCTGCCCTGGCACTGATGGGTTTTATCATGGTGTAGTGCATGAGCCACAGTGAGTAGTAATCGTCACTATCTACTACATTATTGAAAGATATGTGATCATGTATATGGCAAGGAGAACATCCCATTATCCATGGCAGCAATCAGCATGGAATTAATTGTTTATTGATGAGATCATGGTCTTTTAAGAGAAAGATCATGAAGAGATACATGTACAGTATGACAAGTGTCGAGTCACTAAGGGCAATCTACAGCTGATTCTGTAGATTGCCTTGGATTAGCCAAGTATTCAGATATACAGATTTTACTGTACTACTATTGTTTCCAATCTTTTGGAGGAAAGTGTACATCATTCCAGAGAAATGAGATCTAGTAAATCTGTGGTACACACTTACCCAGAGCTGTCAAGTGTCCCGCGAATGGCGGGATTATCCCGCGAATTTGATCAAAATTAGGCTAATTCGCGTGTCCCGCATTGTCCCGCGAAGTCCCGCAAAATGTGGCTTTGACCTTTGCGAATTTCCGAAATTGTTGCAATCCCCTATATTTTGATAATCTTATCTTATATAAGAAGCTAAATTTTTGCACTTTTGAGGAGTAAAGTTTACCTAATTTTAAGTACCTAGCATGCTGTTGTTTGGTATCAAAATAAAGGGGAAGGGTTCAACTTTCATTTTAATTACGAAAATAGGGATGTAGGTCACAAATAGTTCCAACGTTGGCCTTTTTACTACCCGTGTGGCCTTCATCTCAGAACTGAGTAAATGTTAGCAAACGCGAGTTACAATAAATGGACGCTGATATCTAGAAAGGGTTTGTATAAAAAACCGGGTACCGGGTAGTAAATCCTCCATGCTGGGTTCAAACTTGGTACCCGGTACCCGGTCAAAAAAACGGGTACCAAAAAACGAAAAATACGAATATATAACATAATTAGATTATGAGAAAACGTGTAAGATTTGTTTTGAATTTGCAAAAATGTATGTAACATGATTCAAAATTGATCTAGAAGCTTCAAATAAAAAGCATATTTTAAGGCACTTTTCTTCCTCTATCGTTATGGCCATATTTTCATTGGTTATGGGGGGGGGGTGCGATCGCACCATCGCACCCTCTCCTGGCTACGCCTATGACATTGTAAGACATAACAATTTACAATCCAGTGGACATTTTGTCATAAATTGGGATAACTTAAATTATTATTAATAATCAAAATCTTACACGTTGCATCATGTAAATTAACACACGTCACCTCTCTGCTAAAGCAACGATAGCTATTTACAGATTTAAATCATAATCAAAACAATTCACGTACCAACATACGAACTATTGAAAATAGAGTAAGATTGATTTGTCTTGTTTTTCAAATCGTCTTACAATGTCATTGGCGTAGCCAGGAGGGGGTGCGATCGCACCCCCCCCCCTTCATTACCAATGGAAATATGACCAAGATCATAGAGGAAGAAAAGAGCCTTAAAATGCTTTTTATTTGAAGCTTTTAGCTCAATTTTGAAGGAAGTTACATACATTTTTGTAAATTCAAAACAAATCTTACACGTTTTCTAATGATCTAATTATGTTGTGTATTCGTATATTTCGTTTTTTGTTTTTTTTTCGACTGGGTACCAAGTTTGAACCCAGCATGGAGGATTTACTACCCGGTACCCGGTTTTTTATACAAACCCTATCTAGAAAATTAACCTCATTCCCTATAATTTGATGTAGATTAATCGAACCCCTATATCATGGGCTTTCAATTGAAAGCCCATGCCTACAGTATATGAATAGGTACATTTTAATATTTTAAGTTTTTTAAGTATTTTAAGTATTGTTCCGAATTTTTGAATTTCGTGTTAGATTACGGTAATTACACCTGAAGCATGTTTTTTTTTGATAAATAACAATAGAGTTTAATAATATTCCTATGCGTATTTTGTGAAATTGTGTTGACGTTTATTTAAGTTACAATGTAACGGTGCATTATATTTGATTAATCAGTATCTGAAAGTTTGATTTAAGTACTTCTACACGCTTTTACATTAGTCCCAATCACGCAAATCCCTTGAATGTCCCGGGACATCCTGCAAATTTAGGTGGATGTCCCGCGAAATCCCGCAAATTTAGGGCACTTTGTCTAAAAAATCTGTCCCTCTATGAAGTTTTCGGTGGTACACCTGTTAACTGTCCCGCAATTAGGGTGTTTGTCCCTCGAATGGTCCCGCGAAATCCCGCGAATTTGATAAAAAAATCTCCTATTTGCGCAATCACGCAAATCCCTTAAATGTCCCGCAAAATCCCGCGAATTTAGTAGATGTCCCGCAAAATCCCGCGAATTTTGTGCACTGGGTCTAAAAAATCTGTCCCGCGAGAAAATCTTTAGGGGTTGACAGTACTGCTTACCTTAGCAGGCGACGAATGTATTTTTCGTTCGTTAGACCTTCGATACGTTGACTTCTTATCACAAATTGTTGTTAAATAATATTACATTGCATAGTCTACTTACTAGACTATATGGAGTACTTCAAGAAACTGATTTTCATAACGTTGTTCAGAAAAAGTAGGTCAAAGTCGCGTCAAATTTCAAACTTTTGAGCAAAGAGATTTTTTAAATTACATCCATTTATTTATATTCTTAATGGATCTAATAGTGTGTAAATGTTTTTGATATATTTCTTAAATCCACGTATCTTCTTTTCTTAAATGTTATATTAGAAACGTTTTGTCTCAATATTAAATTCGCCAAGTTTTGCATTCGCAGATAGTATTACTTCCGGTTTTGAAAATTTGTGAAAAATATTACGTTTTTCTATTTTTTGTAATGTTTAGCTACCATGGGTTGTTCTAGACGCATACTTATTTTGAATAAGAAGTTTAAGTTTTACACAACTCTTTGAATTAGGTCACTGCAAAATAGGTAAGGGCGCCCATTCACATTATGTTAGATCTATCCTCTGAGTTTCTTCATTTTTTGTTTCCTTTTTGTTTTGTTTCGTTTCTTCTTTTTGATAATAATATCATATGATCAAATGTATTAACATTAGAGTGAAAGCTACAATAATGTTTCCAGTTTCCATCTTTAGATAAACATATTTATAACCATGGGCATTCAACTAGAGTTGGCTTTTCGCCAGGAGGCCTGATTCTTACACTCGAGTAAGGGTAATCTGCATCTGATTTAGTTTGGTTCTATAGCAATCTGTAGCTGATTCGGTTCACTTTTGCGCATGCGTAAAACTGAAAGGTGCCTCCCGTGATACCGTTGTTAAAGCATTCTCCTATTTTAGTTCAATAACCATCATCTACCAATGCTGTGAACAAGATTATTTAGTTATCCTAACATGCGCATCCATAATCCCAAGTTGTTATATTAAACCTGCAATAATCCATCATATACTTTTGTACTAGATTGTACATCTAAAATCAGTACTGGTCATGTTGAATGTTAAAGTAAGATGATGGACTGCGGCGGCAAATACGGATAAATTAAATGCCCTTAAGAAAAAAGCCATGGTAACCATGGTATTCCATGGTGCGTCCATGGTAATCCATGGTGCGTCCATGGTAATCCATGGTTTTCCATGGAAATTCATGGTTTTTCATGGTATTTTCCATGGAAATTCATGGATACGCATGGTAATCTTCCATGGATATTTACCATGATTTTCCGTGGTAATTAGTAGTTTGGTAATTGTTTTTTCATGGACATGCCATGTTTTTACCATGACACTTGAGTTGTAAAATCAACAATTTTGGCATCGTTTTTACCAAAATCTTCAAAATTGAATCAATATTTTAACGAATGAATCCAAGCTGGATTGAGACTAATCATAGAGAGAAGAATATGACGCCCCTCCCCCAGTCAACCTTCTTGACAAAAGCTGGTTTCAGGCCTGAAATACAACCATGTTTTTACAATCTGAATATATGTTTGTACATTCTGTACATAGTGTCATATGACAAAGAACTTTTTACTCAATATTTTTTTAATTGATGATTTGACCCCACAATTACAAGTAATAATTTGTTTGCTGGGATTTGCTTTCATTTAACTTTGACACTGATGTAAAAAAAAGACAAAATAAGTGATAAAATCAGCTCACTGGATTCCCTCATTGTAGACTGAATAAACATTTTTATTTGGAGTAAATCCTATTTGGTTTTATTTGATCAACAATGAGTTTTTGACTTGCACTGTCTACACTCACCGACAATAATTATTACTGAAGAGGGAGCATTAGAAAGAGTAAGATTATCATATATAATAACAATTAAGATCAGAATATTTAAGAATTATGCAAATGAACTATTATAATCTGTTGCAAAGAGATTAATTTTTTAACATTAATTTGAGAGATAATATTCTTATAAAGGTTGAATGGGACTTAATTTGGAGAAGTTCATTTAGAAACAAAATGTTTTATTCTTTTTTCTGCATCCAAAAGACCAAACAAATAGCCCATGGAAAACCATGGACTTTCAAAAGATCAAAAGAATAACCATGGAAAACCATGGCTTTTGATTGCACTTTCCGAAACATCAAAGAAATAATCATGGAAAAGCATGGCTTTCGATTGCAATCAACCGACTTCCATGGCTTTTGATTACAGTTTCCTCAACTTCAAAGAAAGAAACCATGGTTTTTGATTGTATTCTCAAATGTACGAAATGTAATTTAAAAAAAATTATTTATTAAATTATTTCATATTGATTTTCAAAACTGAAAATTAAAGATAGTATTGAAATAAAAACAGAGCTTGGGCTAGTTTGACTTAATCTTTTTCAAAGGAAAGAAGTGTTTGGCCTAAAAAATAAGCAATCTCTATCTAGTCTTGATCTACACAAAAGCCCTTTGCACAATTGTTTTTGAAATCTTGTGGCCTACTCTGTGCTGCATTAACTGCACTATCATATTTCTATATAAAAAAATTATATAATTTTCACATATTTTCTAATTTGTAAGGAAGCTGAGTTTAACATTCAATGAACGTTCTTGCTAAACCTAAAAAATGAAATGTCCACCCTTTTTTCTCTATGATAAGTCTCTACAGTCCAACTGGGATATATCATCAAAACATTAATTTTGGAGATTTTGGTAAATACAAATCCTACCATAATTGTTGATTTTACATCTCCATGTGTCATGGTAAAAGCCGCCCATGACACATCCATTAAAAACCAATTATCAAACCACCAATTACCACGGAAAATCATGGTAAATATCCATGGAAGATTACCATGGGCGTCCATGAATTTCCATGGAAAATAACATGGAAAACCATGAATTTCCATGGAAAACCATGGATTACCATGGACGCACCATGGAATACCATGGTTACCATGGCTTTTTTCTTAAGGGTGTATTGCAAAACATATTGAATTAAATAACTTTGCTTAATGTGGCAAAAGGGTCCAAACTGAGAACGTAATGTCTCCTGGGTAAATTCTATCGTGTTTTTTCCTACCATTGTGCATGTTCAATAAAAAATCAACCTATCAAATTTGAGATGCGCGGAAAATATGCGCAGAGAACCGAATCAAACAACAGAATCAGTTGTAGATTGCCCTTAGTGACTCGACACTTGTCATACTGTACATGTATCTCTTCATGATCTTTCTCTTAAAAGACCATGATCTCATCAATAAACAATTAATTCCATGCTGATTGCTGCCATGGATAATGGGATGTTCTCCTTGCCATATACATGATCACGTATCTTTCAATAATGTAGTAGATAGTGACGATTACTACTCACTGTGGCTCATGCACTACACCATGATAAAACCCATCAGTGCCAGGGCAGACATGCTTAGATGGGGGATTAGGTCAATATGAGTTAGCTTTTATGTACTCCGGGCATCTGTTTTAATCATGGGCTTTCAATAGAGTCCATGGTTTTTATAAAGATATGTTTATTAATTGATACCTGTACATATGATTCAAGGCATGTGATTGTTTACTTTTAGCAAACTTGGTTTTAAAAAATGGCAGCGTTTGGTTCAAACCGTAGGAAAAGCTCACAGAGAGATGATTATCAGAAGTATCCGCTTAGAAACTTGGAGCCAGCAATCCAGAAATTTATTAAAATATTACGCATAGATCTTGGAAGACTACATCATCATCAACAGAATATTGTCAAGGTAAGGCAGTTGGCATTCAGTTCCTATACAATACACATGTATGTAGCTGCAAGTCAAATCAATTGTTTGAATCAGGGTAAATATTTTATGTTACAGGAAGGTATTTTTTCTTGCAACATGCATGTGGTCAAAATGAGAAAAAATAGAAAAACAAATCTGATGAGATTTAGGATTTTTTTAAAAATTTAATCGATTAAGTCCTAATTCAGTGATATCAAGTAATTTATAAACGGATTATGAATAGAAACCCTCGTTTTTTATTTTTTCAAGGAAACCCATGAGCCCGTTAGAAGTTTTTTCTATTAATTCAGGAAGTTTATTTTATGACTTGTCACAATACATGTACAGTATACTTAACAAGTGGTACCATAGAGTTAACAAGTTAATTTATTACTTTTATGTCTTAAGTTGTGCACAGAATGACATCTGGAATGAAAGTGTGTAGTATGTGCGGTAGATAATAGATTCACTATCAAACACCCAAATGGTTTTTATTTTTTCAGTTCCAAAAATTATCCGAGTTTGATAACTTAAACAAGGAGCACATAAATGCAACAAGGACAGTACAGCAATTGAAATCAAACATGTTAGCCCTGGAGCGAACTAGGCACCAAGTAGAGGAATCTGAACAAGAAAAATTTGATGCAAAAGTGAAGGATATCCAAAGAGAAGCAGCTGAAAATGTTGCCGACTTTTTAAACACACATGGAAAACTTGAACAACCATTTGGACAAAGTACAGCTACAGATATTCAAAGTGACAGCTCTTCAGACAATTTGATTCACAGACATTCAGTAAATGTTACCAATACAGATGGTGATCATGTGGATCATCCATTAGATAGTGGCATGCAATATTTTGATGGTTTGGAACAGAAAAGTGAAGCAATACAGACCCAGGATTTGATGGAGGAAGTACGCCAGACCAAAGAAGCTGAGGCCTCTTTGGAACATCTCAGAGAGGTAAGGTCTACTACAGTCACACTATTGTCAACCAAAATAACGAACTAGAATTTACTTGGTTAGAGTTTCTGTCCCTTAAAATAGAATGATATTTACTTCACCAAAGTTCTTTTTCCATAAATGGCAGAATACTGCTTAGGCGGGTACTGGGTACAGGCTTGATTGCAATTTGATGGCCAACTCATTAACATGTAAATGTGAATAGTGCCTGCTATGCATCTGGATAGCTGCTAGCTATTGAGTCAAACCCAATCTGTGACCTAAATATAACAGTTTAATCTGCATATTAAGCAGCTACTAACACTGACTTGCAATTTGTTCGCTCATTCAACCCAGCGACCCTAGTTACAATCCATCGTTACTGTGGCTTAAAAAGTCATTTGATAACTGTTAGTTGCCCAATATCACGCCCTGGTGATCGGAGGAAAAGAATGGAAGGAGGGGGGGGAGAGTGTCTGATTTAGGTTAAAAAATTCAACAGATCTGAAAGATTTATTTTTTCAAGAGAAAGTTTACAATTGAATTGCTAAATGAATAGGCACAATGCACATGACACGGAGAAATATGTTTGGTCTTCTAGGATTTTTTGAACTGTTAGGCTTCTAAGATATGATATTTATTAAAAAAGGTGCAAACATGGCAAATGCCAATGTTTTTGGTATAAATCCAGCAACGGAGGTCTACACAACTTGTTATAAATATTTGTGACGTTATTATCACAAAATAATTGTCATTTTTGGTTTTGTAAAGTACTTTACCATACGTTATAAAAATAATCAAAAATTATTAAAATTGAATGGACGGGAGGGGGAGTGAATGGATGGAGGGAAGAGTAATGTTTCTATACGACAATAACTCAAAATGTCTCTATTTGTCACTCTTCAGAGTTGTAACATCCAGTTGTTACTGAGTTACTGAGTTCATTTTCAAATATACGAATTCACAGAAATGTCTTCCAACTTAAAGATATATTACTCCCTCCTCCATGATCCCTACCGTTCTATTTTAGTTATTTTTGATTATTTTTCATCTCACATATGGGGACTTATTTTAAAAATCAACAAAGACATTAATAATGTTACAAAAACATCACTTTTAAGTATTTATTGAAGGTCATGTGGACCATTGTTGCTTGATTTATATCAAAAACATTCAAATTTGCATGTCCTTTTTTTAGCAGATCTTATATCTTAGAAACCAATCAGTTCCTAGAAAAATCCTAGAAGACTTAACATATTTCACAGTGTCATGCATATATTCATTTAGCAATTCAATTGTAAACTTTCTCTTGAAAAAATAAATGTTCCAGATTTGTTGAATTTTCTAATGAAAATCAGCTACTCCCCCTTCAATTCATTTCTTCCGATGACTGGTCATGAGTATGTTATTAACTTACATTTCATGTTTTTCAGAATTTAGAAGACTTCAATTCTATTATTCATGACTTTTCAAGCATCGTACATGTAAGTTAATCTCAGTATAAAAATACATTTGTATGTTTACTTGCTTCTTAACTCTATATTCAGTTTTGTTAAAAGTAAAACAATATTTACCATACCACATATGCAGTACATGTATAACAATTTTAACATCAAATTTGCTTACTAATATGTCACAACATTTTTAATATCATTCAGAGCTTAGTACTCGCTAAAGTTCCCAAACTCATCTAGAAAGGGTATAGTTGAATATCCTTGTTAAAGAGGGGGAGGGAAACCATGTCAAGTAAAAACACCGAAGTAGACAAGTTCAACAAGAGAGTTTATCCTCCACTAAAATAAATTACTTTTGCTAAAACAAGTTTAATCTTACCTATTATGAGTTGTTTTATGACAGTCATTTCATATTTTAGGCTCAGCAAGAGACTATAGACAGTATAGAGGACAATGTGGAGAATGCGCATGAAGATGTACACAAGGGAACCATACAATTATCCAATGTAAGCTCAAAGTCTTACTAGTTTTGTGTGGCAACTATTGATCAGCTTTGAATCAGAAATTCAATGCATCATCATTTTTGGGGGTTATATCCGTGGTAATTAATATAAAAGCCTTCCTCAGATTTTACTTTTTGCTTGAAAATGTACCTTTTTAATTCTTTGAAAATCAAAAATATCAATTTCTCGTTATTATGAAAGAGAAGTCAATGGCTGTAACTTTGTCCTGATACTGACACGTCAAAGTTAATGATGGAGTTTAATCACTGCATTAGGTTTAAGAAATACAAAAGTCCCTCACCTCTTACCACTTTGTCTAATAAAAATGTGATTTGTTTGTCTTTTGCAGGCTGCTAAACTAAAGGCAGTAATGATACCAATAGCTGGTGCTGTAGTAGGAACCGTGGTGGCTGGTCCAGTGGGGTTGATTGCAGGTGCTAAGATAGGTGGTCTTATCGGTGCAGTAGGAGGAGGTGTCATAGGTAGAACAGCCATTATAATTTAAATCGGGGAGGGGTTCGCTATTTTTCAATGTATTTTACAATGTACTTAAAATGTTAAGTTAGATTGTCATCTTGTAACAATCTTCTAAAAGTATACATCATGAAAAAAGTGTACAGTAATATTATAGAAAATTATGTTGCATATGCTTGTACTATACACTTTAGGGTTACTTCTGTTTTTCAGGTTTTACAAGTGGAAAATATATTAAAAAGAAAAAAGATGAAGGGATAAACATTGAAATGAAAAAAATGGAGGATAAACTTGAAACTTCATCTACTTCTCAAAGCTAATCTCATATGAACCATCCATAATTAAAGACATACAGTATCATAATGGCAGAGTGCAGTTGTGGGTGATACATGCACTTATAATAACGCTTTCAGGCTTGCCAGTTAATGATTGGTCAAACATGGGTCACATGATATTCACTGGTCATAAACAATCAAAAGAATAGTACAATAACGTCATTTCTAAGGGCGATATAGTGAAATATTGGACGCCCAAGGTCCAATATTTCACTATATCGCTCGCAGAAATGACGTTATTAGTATTATTACCACCGTTAACGACCAGGACTGAAACAGCAAGAAAATCTTACGCATTGAACGATATCTAATTTCCCGGGGAAAATTGCCGGTCTAGAATATATTCTAGACCAGTCCATATGGACCACCACTATGACGTCACACATTTCTCAGGTCGATATAGTAAAATAAACGCCTTCTAAACTAGCACTAAAACCCCTAGAACTGGCCCGGCAAGGTGGTAATAATGGGGAATAAGTAGTGGTTACAAAACCTTTAAAATGGAACTCCTCTCCATCTTCATAAGTGAAGAATGCTTCAGATCATGTTACTCATTAACTTACTAGTATAATCTGAACTCAGTGAGTTGAACACCTCCTCAGTGGAACACTATATTAGAAACTGAGGTGTTCCACTGTTGGCGCACTAGAAGGTTGAACTACCCGACTACTGGCTTTGTGAATGTATTATTTTCATTTTGCTCAAGTCCTTGTCTTTCTTTGGCATATTTATTTAAAGGGAGAAATGGCAAGCAAATTTTCAAAAAATGTTTCAGTTTTTCCATTTTGCTTTCTTGAAAGATCCAATATTGCTTACCTTATTCAGAGTAATAGTATATATTGTCATTTCATCCTTTGTAAAACAAATATGAATTATCCGCATTGCTCTAACTGCTGCAATGCTTTATAAAGTAACATCATTCAATAGTCTACTGAGTTTAGATTTTACAGAGAAAAAACAGGTGAATGATCATGGACTTTCCAGAAGACCCATTTTTGGGGCAATGGGTTGGAAATTCATTGCTTGTAATTTTCAGAAGACCCATTTTTGGGGCAATGGGTTGGAAATTCATTGCTTGTAATTTTATAACACTAGTCTGTATATATACTGTATCTGACGGTAGCTTACATTGATGTATTGAAGGGCCATGGGTTGATACCACAGTTGATGAACTTTGGAGTAATACACCTCCTAATTATATTACATGTATGTCAATGCTTGGAGCAGGAGGAAATGTACAATAGCTTGTTTATGACATTTATTCAAGAGATCACTAATTGTTTTTCCATATATGGTATGTTGTAAAAAATGTGAAACGCCTCTGCAAGTGGAACTATTTGCAAGGAAAACAGTTTAAGGGGGTGAGTCGGGTGACCCATTGACTTTATGTTAATGAATCTCTGCAAGTGGAACACCTATGTTGAACAGATTTTTGTATTCCCAAAGGTGTTCCACTTACAGGTCTGACTGTATACCATCACTTATCATGGGAAGCCACATCAGAAGTGTTACTAATACTGGAATTTACAGAACTTATTTACATGGAACATGTTGAGTGAAACGAATATAGTATTACAGAGTTAAAAGTGTCTCAGTTTTCATTTTTAAGGGTATTATGTTTTCTGGTACAACACTATCGCCATCTATAAAACATTGCAGTACTGAAATCACTCTATACGTTTGGCATGCATTTTAATCTCAAACAATTTCTGGAGGTAAAACTACTTGATTGTTCTATTAAATGTACAAATTGCAGTACTGATCTATTCTATGTGCATATCTAATTGAAACTGATAAAGTTAATAGGTAAGATTAACACATAAGTGTATGCAATTTTATTTATACAATTTGTTTTTGAGTACTTTAGGTTAGCCATGAAATGATGTTATATATATAATATACAGTACATGGCAATTTAAATGTTATTTGTGGCAACATAGTATTGCATGGGGAGACTGTAAGTGTCAAATAAAGTTAAATTCAATATGGAATTTAAATATAATATCACTACTGTACTTCTGTTTGTTCTGCTTAGCAGTGATGGTTGTCTCAGTTACATATATGCGACTAACAAACTTCAAAGGTACATATATGTAAGTGTGTTGAGGTATGGTTACATTAGGTTTGGGTACCCTTTTGGGTATGATGATTTTTCTTGACTGACCTCATAAAACATTTTTAACAGCTATACGAGGGGTCCGAGTAGCCATGCCCTTTATTTCCTTAATCAGCACGGACCAGTAGTAAGTATATTTGTTGGATGGACACAAAGGGCCTTGATAAAAGACCGTATGGGACAGGGGATTTTGATTTTTAACATGTTACTACTCACAAAGCTATGTTATTGAATATAAGTACATTACTTGGCAATTAATGACTATAGATTTGACAATTTTATTAATAATTTTATTATTATCAATAGCATATTGTGGTCCTATAAACGATTATATACTGTATGTTTGTGAAAATATCTTAGGCACTTATTTTCTATTACAGTCATTTTACAAAATGATGCATAACAGAATTGTTCCAAATTCAACATGAACTTGGTTTTTTATACAGCTGTAGTATAAAATTTACTCAAGCTGATACATTTTGGCCATCAATCACTAACTGAGTAAGCTGAATATTAGTCAAGGCATTGTGTGAATTTCTCAGTATGAAATCACTGAATGAGAACTTTTGTCATGGTTCTATTTTTTGCTTACATGTCCATACGTCCTCCATCATGTCCATGTCTCATTAGATCAGCATTTTAACATTATACATGTAGTTCTTGACGTTTCTAATGCAATCTCTGAAAAGACGATCATAGTATACTGCATAACATGCCCATTGAGTCACATTTCATAACCCACTTTAGCGTTTGTAACAAATTGAACTATGTTAGGTTAGTATCATCTCAATGGGTGAGCACTTTTAGCATGGTTTGTCAGTTCTTTTTCCAGTTTCTCTTTTGCCCATTGAGTCTCTAATGTTCCCGTAACTCGCTGCATGAAGGCACTCTTGGCATTACGAGCTCTCCTGTGCCTCTGAAAGAACATGAAATAATATTTAAAATACGATGTTATTTGCCAAAGTGAAAAGGGTTACGTATTAGTTTATATTAAAACAATCCAAGTTAAAGCTATCAAGAAGGTGGGGGAGACTTGGACTAGGTTTTGGATTCGAAACAATAACATTTTTATAATTTTGACTAATACGTACGGTATATGACGCTGACCCAGTGGGCCACGGACCTCGTGGATGGTGGTTCTTTACTTCCCATTTTGGCGGTTGGTGTAAAGGTGGCGCCATCTGTCTACCTTTTGTATCACGCTCTGTTGGTGGTCGACCGTGTAATCCTTTTACTGAAAATAATGAATTAAAACATCAAAATGAGACTTTAAAGTAATATAGTAGATGCTATGTTTTATTATGTGAAAACTGCTCAATATGCCGGAAGCATAGCTGTATTTGTCTGCTGTTGAAAACGCATCTTTAAAACCGACATGTAACATGTAAATATATACGTCAAACAAGTTCAAAAACATCTATCTATGGGACAGATATGTAAACATGTACTTATAAATATCACTTTTTACTTACTTTGGTTTAAACGCTCAGTAATGAACTTGATGTTATAAGGGTCAGGGTCACTTGTAGTTATAAATTCTGAGAGCCCTAGTTTCTTCAAAGGAGGGTACTGAAAAATAACGAATTATTCAATGAACGTAGTAACTTAAACATCAACTGCTGGTACCTAAAGTTGTAAAGTTCTAGAATTATGAATTTTAACATTTGCAAAGCGAGCAAAGGGTCGCCAAAGAGGCACCCAAAATCAGGGGACTATTTCATTATTTTATTTGGTCGTATTATATATTAGATGATTGACAATTGATTAAAAACTGACACTGAAATGACTTATTTCCATGGGAAATCCACAACCTCATTAATGGACAAAATAGTAAAACGGACATTAAATTATGTTAACGTTTCAATCTCTAACTAGTGATATTTTTTATTACAATGTTTCGATCAAGAGGGTTTCGGACCATATCTCCATATGAACGAGGTAGCAACCTCATTAGAATAAGAATTTCAAGACATTTTGAACAACCCTCGTACTAACCTGTCTAAAGTCATGGAGTTGTGGAGGAACATAGTCTCCCGGAGGAAGGAGGTCATTTCGCAATGTGATCTGTCTAGCTTCGTGTGGATCATCGATGTGAAATCTTGTCATAAACCTTGTTTTTTCCCTGGAGGGCTTCTGTATAATTTGTAATACTGGTGGTAGTTCAACTTTATCATTCTCATCTTGTTTCAACGATGACTGTTTCCCTGGAAACGTCCCGTACTTCCATGGTTGCATAGAGTCTTGAGTATTACGTTTAGGTGGATAAGGACCAAATATCTGAGGCCTGAAATCAGGTGGTTGTCTCTTCCAAATATCATCTACTGGATCTTCTGACTTATTGAAGTAATTATCACTCCTAGATTTCAGTAAGTGTTCAGTTGCATCATAACTTGTCTTGGCTTCAAATCCAAAGTCCTTAACACCAAATGAACTGGCGATACTCTCGCTATTTTTCCTACTCGATCTGGTTGGGCCTGAGACTTGAGTCTTACTCCTGGTCCTGGGTGTATCAGAAAGGAAGTGAGACTCCACGGCTGGACTATATTCCCCCGATAGCCCACTGGTAGGAAACATTCCTCTTGTTCTGTGGCGTGGAGACTCTTCCGATACTGTGGACATCATATTGTGATATTGTCTGTAAGCACCTCTTGGACGAATTAGCTCGACGTTTGTATGCTAAAATCAAAGATGTATTAATGATAATTCATTTCTAAATGTATTACTTGATATCTTAAACCGAAACAAATATTTAATTTAAATATCAGAATTAGAAATACAAATAAACAAAGGACAATGTTCAATTCGCAAAGAAGATAATAAATGGCTTTACTTGGATTTTATTTTTGTTGTGTCATTTTTTTCAAGAATACTACAAGTTTATATTTATTTTGAAAATTACGCCCACTAATGTCATGTCTTTGCTATGATATATACTGCTACATTTCCATAACCCGTTAAAATTATTTTAACATTTGCTGAATCTACGATCAAGTGTTTTCATCGAGGTCAATTGAGAATCCATATTTTTCTTCGTTAACTCATCTTCATTTAATAATCAATCAAATAACTACTTACCAGCTATTAGTACACATACTTCATTTGTACTTAACTTTGTAGTCAAGTGTAATATTTGTTATTCCTTGTATCTTTCGTCATTCAACTTCCAATGCATTTCCATTCGGAAGTTAAATCTCTATGTAAAACAAGCAAATCGCTTTATAATTCAATTTACACAAACTGGTTATAAAGGGCACATTTACTTGTACCGTGTAAATGGTGTTATTCAGCTACTGAGGTATTAGCGTCTGGTTACCCCTAACAACTGCGCATGTCAATATGCGCAGGTATACAACTATTGAAATATAAAGATCATACCCACATTTATTAAAGTAGAATTTGGTTTCTATTAATAATCAATCTTTAGGTGCGAGTATATACCACGGATATTGTATTCGTTTAAAAGATCCATGATGTGGCGGATAAACGTGTTGATCATAGTCAGAGCGATAGCCGATATACAAAAGGCTAATATGATATCCCGTTTGATATAAGCAAGATTTATTGAAAAACTTAATCAAACAATCTATTAATATAAACGGAAATTAATTAATCTGGACGATCATAATTTTCGAGCTTAAATTGATTCGACCCTCGGATTCGACCCAAAATTAGATTAAATACATTTTATACCCAATCTATTTTACAACATTTTTTTACTACAAACATAAACTAATATGAGGTAGTATTCGAGCACTGACCCAGGCCCGTAGCCAGGGGGAGGGTTAGATGGGCTCGAGCGAACCCCCCCGGCCAAAAATTCTTTCAAAATCATGCAGTTTTTCATCATTCTGAGCACTTTTTGGCTCACACAGTAAGCCTATGGAATTGACCAGGCGTCCGTCCGTCCGTTGGTCCGTCCGTCCGTCAACATTGGCCGCACAAATTAAAACTGCTATTCGGATTGAGTCATATCCACATTCATTTTATGCATATCCATAATGCCTATTTGACCTATCATCGCCATTTCCCAAGTTCGCCCGGTTTCCGAGAAATTGCGGATTTTGACGTCAAAAAGTCAAATTTTCTGTAAATACTAGACACTTTGTTGGAGTAGAACTTTCAAATAACCTTTAATAGTTGCTGTATATGCAGCTCATGTCCTCTGAAGATTTCAAAGCTCTTGGAATTACGGTTTTTGGTGTTTACTCTATAAAATTTGACAAAAAGTAGGACTTAGTCATTTTCAGGAAACTTTCTCATGTATGTCAATAGCATGTTTTGTGATTGACAAGTTTCTTAAAGTTTGCCTTATACTTGATCATTTCCTGCAATAAATTACATCATTACTAGATTTAAGCATTCTCTGCATATTCCTCAATATATGTCAGCTTCAAATTTTCACCGTTTTTGAGATATTTGATGTCAAAAAACAGTAAAAATAAGTTATTTTTCAGCTTGCTTCAATTTGACCAAACTTTTTTTGAAAATCATCTACGAGTTGTCAGGAGTTCAAATCTGACATTAGTTTTAGGATTTGACCTTTACTTGACCTTCAGTGACCTTCGAAAGGTCAAAAAGTTAATTTTTCAGATTGATTTTTGGATGTAAATTTTGGTCAGCTTAATCACAAAAGACCTTACTGAGCTCTGAATAAGTAAAATTTTAACGTCAAAGGTCATCAAACTAGGTCACACAACTGTATGCTATCTAAGTTCGAGACTACAAATCCAAATCAATATTTTTGTTTGATAGTCAGGATATACATTCCTCTGAAGGTTCCAAACTGTGTGAGCACAGGACCGTGGGTCCTTCATTTTTTAAGTGATTTTGGCCATTTTTGGACCAAAATAGTCAAAGGTGAACCCCCCTGGAATTTTTCAAAATGTGAACCCCCCTTGGAAAATACTGGCTACGGGCCTGTGAACGATTTCAAAGTGGAGCATTTCAACTGTATACATCATTTGCATACACTTGTTTCAAAAAGGCATCCCTATACCGTGATGTACAGGGTGGGTAAAAAAAACGCCACTTTTTTTTCAAGACACTACAACTTTTTTATTTTCCAACCTACATACCCCAAATTTTGCAGTTATATAGTGCCAAGGGTTCTTAGTAATAATATAATGTAACAAATCCTTCAACTTGGATTATATTTGATCTAAAAGAGGAGTTCAATTGGTCCGCCACCCTAATTAATGATATATTTTAGTTTTAGTCGCCTTGCTGATATTGCAGTATCAATGAAATGTTAGCTAAGTTGTTTTCAACCTGTCTTTATTGCCAGCTTTAGTTGAGCAATTTTCTAGATGGGGTGCCTTCATACAATCTCCTGGAGACCTTCCTATACCCTATACTCACTGGGGTTTGCATCAGGGCTATTAGCTTGGCGATCATCAGGCCTTATCAGGCCAGGAACATTTTGCAAATTATGCTTATTTCTCATGGCACACCACATGTTTAAGTGAGACGCTGGTGACATATTTTATTCAAGTAAAAGTATATAATTTATGATACATGACTAGATAACAACCTCAAGTTTCATTTGGTATGCAAATTATGATTTAATATCAAAAATTAAAAAAGTTATAGCATTTTGAAAAAAGTGGCGTTTTTTGGCCCACCCTGTACATGCCTATCGAATATAAAATAATTATTACAAAGCATCATCAAAATGTTCATCACCATTTACACAATTTCTCAAATTGGCAAAATGGCATCCATTCCTTATCGATGATTAGGAGCGTTTTCAAAAGATTTTGCCAGGATGTCATTGGTTGGCAATATGAATCGGAACACGTGGACACAAGAGGGATGGGTCTGCACAGTTTTCTAGCAGTTAGCAGTCATGGTAATTTAAGGTGATGTAGTTTAGATTACTTAGGATTAAGATAAAGATTCATGTTCACCGTTACGAGCTTATAGAGTTTAAATAAAATCTAACCTCTATATCAGCTTAGAGTGGAATGTACATGTGTGTTTCTAAATTAGTGGAAGGAAACAAACTTTATCTCATCAAAACCGATCTTGTGAGAAAAACATTGTATATAATGAATTCTGTATCGTTGAATGGGGTATCCCGAACCACCGATCCATGGGAAATAGAAATTGAAAAGATTAATAAAAATTGAAGTTATTCAATTGTGAGTACAACATGCACTCCACCCCCAATTAAAGTTTAGAAAATTAATTCATGTACTGGACTGTGTGATGAAGTGATGAAGGAGTTTTATATCATAAATAACTAGATAAATAATTTCTCTTTATCTTCGGATGTGATGGTGAAGCTAATAGGGACAGTCTAAGTTGATTTTCTGAACAATGTGCATTGTGTGAAAGAAATTCTTACCCTTTCCATTGATTTTTACCAAATCAACTTTGATAAACCGATATATGTGTCTTTAATCACTGATTCATTAATCTAAATTCATCGTGTATAATACATACTACTATCAGACGTTTCAAAATGTAACTTGAACTACATAAACAATGTAAATACTATACCAAAATAAAAAAGTGATATTGCACTAAATCAAGTTATAGCCGATCATCTAAACAATTGAGATGGTCATAACCTGACGTCTGTACTGTGAACAGATGGATACTTGAGACAAGTTATGATTTCTCTCTCTTCTTTATCTCTATAATCATACAATGCAACTCATTATCATACACTATATGCACATACATAAACGTTAATGTATCAGGGAGCTCAAAACTTCCCAGTGAGATTGAACTGTTGTTTGTATCATTTGACGCCATTTTTAATCAAATGTATTGTATCAAAGTACCTGAGTCATCCAATTTCTGTACCAGATGAGTCTTAAGATTGGTCCAGCTGGTATTGTATGCATTGCTGACAAGTAGTTTTTATATGTTTCAATTTCTGATATATTCACTTCAACATTGAATTGTTTTTCTTGCTTATTTTCTACCAGTTAAAAATTATATCTTGCATGTATTTAAACAATAGTACTATAAAAAAAATTAACAATATGTGTCATTTTTTGTTTATTTCATTTATTTTGAAGAACTTCAACCTTGATATTTTTAAAAAGCGGTGCCATAAATTTGTATATATTTTAATATCGTTGAATTTTGTTGGGGCAACATATTCATTTTATTTTAAATATTTCACGCCTCCTATGGCTGATACTACATTAGGAGCAATCAGTTATCTGGAGAGGGAAACACTATAACCATATAATTGATAACATACTTTTTTAAATATCATATATTTTATATAGATATTTACATAATAGATATTTTTGTTTTCAAAAATAAAATGCAAATAAACAGTCCTTTTATTTGTCATTGTCAACCAGAAATGTGAAAAGAATCTTCCTTCTAAACAAATGATGGTCCGCATGGTTTACAGATGATTGACCTGTCCAATTACTTGTAATAATATTCTTGTGATAGTGATTGATATGAATGTAAATGATGACAGGGAGATCCCCGTTATATTGGAACACTTAAGGCCCCTCATGTCACCCAAGTATCCCATCACAGGTATCCACCACCCAGGGTACGCGTCAGCTGAATGCCAGCCCACCAGTCTCTGTTTTAATTTTGACCAATAATTCCTTATTCCTTATGAAGTTCCCTTTAGTCATTAGTAATGTGATATATGTGAGTCTAGAATATGACTTGGGGTCTGTAGTGGTGCTGCATTGTCTTGTTACCCTGTATACCAAGTCGTGTGAAGTGTTTCTGTTTAGAACGTTGTAAGTATCCCAAGTCCTTGGCCCGCCTCTCTGCTACTGCTCCTGTAACAGAAACACACCATCCATTGAATATTAATGTTATCCCATGTTACGTGATCAAAGAAGAGATTTATATGTATGTCATATTTCATGAATATAAAAATATGCATTTTTATATGATTATAAGCACTAATGAAATGATTGATATTTTTCACATTTTAATTTAATGTGGATATTTACATATTATGGTAGAATACATGGATCAAAATTTGAAACATATCTTTTGAAATGGAACTAAATTGATATTTCCGAAATTTTTGGAACTTTTTTAGTGAAACTCTAGGAACTTCCTTAATTGAAATTGAAACCACTTATTGAACTTGTTAGTTAAGTGGAAATATAAAACATCACATATCCACCTTGTAAACAAGATACAATGACACAAAGGCATAAAGAATCTTTGATAGACTTCTGAATCTTTGGCTTGCTTTCCATTTTTATTTTTTATGCAATTAGTAAATATCTCAAATACAAGATATTTTTTGTGTATGGTCTTCAGATGTACACAAGATTGACCATGTATTGCAGACGACCTCTACCATGTCATCAGATAATATGATCAATAGTCTAGCGCACTAAATGAAGTAAGCATATTATACACCATACTATTCAGAGTTGTGAACAACTTTAAAACTTTTGATCTGAGTTAAACACCCATTTTGAGAAGTCATTAAGAGCTTACCTTTAGCCCCTGTCCAGCCCAGAGCTTTGTAATGCAGGAGTAACTTGGATGTTGCTGGAGTGACAGCTCTGCTAGGAGGTAGATTCTGCTTGTAGTAGCGCATCAATGACCTGTGCCCAACTGAGGCACCTGAGAGATAAAAGAGCAAGGCACATATGTATATAATGAACAGTTTTTGAATTGGTGTGAGCTTAGAGTAATAGTAGATTGACCATAATGGCGATGGCCCAATGTATGCATACCCGATACATTGTAATGATAGCCTGATGTGTTTTGAATGTGTTTTCCTATTGAAATGCATTGGGGATGACAGAGGACCAGCTATGACATCATATCTTTCTTTAATGTGACAGATTCACTATGGCTTTTACCATAAATTCTGTTAATCAAATATATCTAAGAGGTACATTCTAACAATCAGTTAACTAATCAATCATAAAATCAATTCAAAATCTACCTGATGGAAGAACAAGCTTGAAGCCTTCATCTTGGACTTCGGTGGTGACATCTACTTCCATATCAGCATCTTCACCCTCTACTTGGTCTGGGTAACTTGAACTAAACACAAATATTGTCATAGGATGAAAAAATATGGCTCAAAAAATATCAATGCTTGCCATCACTAGAGACATATGAATATGGTGAATTCTATTTTGCTATTTTCCAAAAAATGCTTAATAGATCTTCCATACATTTATCAGGCCCGTAAGACACTTTTCTCCAAGGGGGGTGCGGTTTTTACTAAAGAGAATATAAAATTGTCAATTTTTTGCCGCGTAAATCAAATTGCGTAAGTCAGAGGGGGGGGGGGGGGGGGGTCGGTTACTCCCTATCATTACTGATTTCTGGGCACTTTTAAAGTGTTTATAATTAACAAATGCAACTTCCAAACGTTCCAATTGTTTTGTGGGGGGTGTGAGGAGTGGACCACTCCCCCGGGGGGTTCACTGTATATAAAACTCGACGGGGGTCCTAGGCTGAAGCCTCAAATATCAATATGTTCCCATACCAATATGTCAAATTTCAATATGTTCCCATACCAACCAAAATAACGCCCAAAGGCCGTACCAAATGTCCAAATATAGGACCAATGCCATACCAAATGCCTAATTATGGGACCAATGCCATACCAAATGTCAAAATGTAGGACCAATGCCATACCAAAGGTCCAAATATGGGACCAATGCCATACCTTAATTCAAAGTAAATGAAATATAGGATCAATGTCATACAAATTTGCAACTACTGGACCAATCTCCCCATAGAAAATTTTACAGTTTTGAGATGCTATTTGGTGCTTTCTGGGCACTTTCAAAGTGTATGAGTCAATAAGAAAAAGGTGATTTTTTTCAAATTCTTTTGAAGGTGTCAAAGAGGATGAGAGGGTGAAGTGGGGTTGGGTGCCAGAGGGGGAGCATGGGGTTGTCCCCCAGAAACATTGACCATATAAAAGTGCTATTTGATGATGTCTGGGCACTTAAAAAATGTCTGAGACAATACATGAAATTCAGAATATTTTCTTTTGTTTTGTGGGGGATGTGAGGAATGGCTAACTCTCCTAGAAAATTTTACAATTTAAAGGTGATATTTGGTGCTTCTAGGCACATTTAAAGTGTATAAATCAATAAAAACATTGAAAAACCAGGCCCGTCAGATGGGGGGGTGCGATGGGTGCGACCGCACCCCCCTTTGACACCCCCCAAAAAAAAATTTAAAAAAAATTTAAAAATATTTTTTTTGGAATTTTTTTTCATCATCTCATACACTTTTGAAGTGCCCAGAAAGCATCAAATAGCATCTTAAAATTGTAAAATTTTCTAGAGGGAGTGGGCCACCCCTCAAACCCCCCTCAATACAATGGAAAAGTTCTGAATTTATTTTATTTATTGTCTCAGACACTTTTAAAGTGCCGAAGTGCCCAGACATCATCACATAGCTCCTAGTCAATGTTTCTGGGGGATAAACACTTGCTCCCCACCCTACCTCTCCCCCTCTGGCACCCTCCCCCCCCTTGACACCCCTCCAAAAAATTGAAAAAATTGCGATTTTCTCAATTTTTTAATTGACTCATACACTTTGAAAGTGCCCAGAGAGCACTAAATAGCGTTTTAAAATTGTAAAATTATCTAGGGGGAGTGGGCCACCCCTCACACCCAAAACTAAACAATTGAAAAGTTCTGAATTTATTTTATGTATCATCTCAGACACATGCAAAGTGCCTAGACATCATCAAATAGCTCCTTGATATAGTCAATGATTCTGGGAGACTAACAGTTACTCGCCCTCTTGGATCCCCACCCCACCTCCCCCTCTGGCACCCCCTTCCCCTTTGACATCCCCCAATATATTGTGATTTTTCAAATTTTTTATTGAGTCATACACTTCGAAAGTACCCAGAGAGCACCAAATAGCATCTTAAAATTGTAAAATTTTCCAGGGAAGTAGGCCACCCCTCACATCCCCCACAAAACAATTGACAAAAATTCTGAATTTATTTCATGCATTGTCTCAGACACTTTTAAAGTGCCCAGACTTCATCAAATAGCACCTTGAAATGGTCAATGTTTCTGGGGGCAGATATGGGGGACAAACACTTGCTCCCCCTCTAGCACCCTAATCCCGCCTCCCCTCTGGCATCCCCCTTTGACACCCCCAAAAATTTTCATACACTTTAAAAGTGCCCAGAAGCACCAAATATCATCCACCCCTCACATCCCACAAAGTCTCAGACATTTTTATAGTGCCGAGACATCATCAAATGGCACCTTGATATGGTCATTGTTTCTTGGGGACAACCCATTCACCCTCTCATTCTCTTTGACATCCCTAAAAAGAATTTGAAAAAAATTCACATTTTTTTATCGACTCATTCACTTTAAAAGTGCCCAGAAAGCACCAAATGGCATCTCAAAAGTGTAAAATTTTCTAGGGGGAGTGGGTCACTCCTCACAAGTTTGGAAGTTGCATTTGTCAATTGTAAACACTTTAAAAGTGCCTAGAAGTCACCAAGTGACATAATGAAATCATAAAAACATAAAAATTTCTGGCAGCCCACCCCAAAAACTAAAGCATTTATTTACTCAAACACATTAAAAGTGCTCAGAATTAACCAGACATCACTGTGAGACATGAAAAAAATCTGAAACTCTTATAAATAGATTCTATTTCAATTAAAACACCTTGAAAGGGTCCAGAAATCATTGAATGTGATCTTGAACCGTTAAAAGTTCTCGGACATTTATGCCCTTCTAGTACACCCTCCCCCTATTCCAGTGTTTCTCCAAATTGCTCATATAATATTTAGTCTAAAAACAATACGAAAACAATAAAATACTACAAAATATAGGGAGTAACCGACCCCCCCCCCCCTTTGACTTACGCAATTTGATTTACGCGGCAAAAAATTGACAATTTTATTTTCTCATTAGTTAAAACCGCACCCCCCTTGGAGAAAAGTGTCTTACGGGCCTGAAAACAATCACATTTTTTTCAAATTTGGGGGTGTCACAGGGGAGAGGGAGGGGTGCCAGAGGGGGAGGTGGGGTTGGGGTGCCAGAGGGGGAGCAAGTGTTTGTCCTCCATATCTGTCCCCCAGAAACATTTACAAGGTGCTATTCAATGAAGTCTGGGCACTTTAAAAGTGTCTGTGCCTAAAAGTGCCTATTTCCCAAGAAACTTTTACAATTTCAAGATGCTATTTGGTGCTTTCTGGGCACTTTCAAAGTGTATGAGTCAATAAAAAATTAATTTCTTTTTCAATTTTTTTTTTGGGGGGTGTCAAGGGGGGGGGGCTGCCAGAGGGGGAGGTGGAGTGGGGATGCCAGAGGGCGAGTAAGTCTTCCAGAATCATTAACTATATCAAGGAGCTATTTGATGATGTCTGGGCAATTTAAAAGTGTCTAAGACAATACATAAAACAAATTCAGAACTTTTCCATTGTTTTGTTTGGGGTGTGAGGGGTGGCCCACTCCCCCTAGAAAATTTTATAATTTTACGACGCTATTTGGTGCTTCCTGGCCACTTTCAAAGTGTATGGGTCAATTAAAGAATTTGAGAAAATCACAATTTTTATCCAATTTTTTTGGGGGGGGGGATCAAGGGGGGGGGGGGGTGCCAGAGGGGGAGGTGTGGGGTGGGGATGCAAGTGCAATATGCAAGAGGGGGAGCAAGTGTTAGTCCCCCAGAAACACTAACTGTATCAAGGAGCTATATGATGATGTCTGGGCACTTTTAAAGTGTCTGAGACAAAACACTAAAATAAATTTAGAAATTTACAATTTTAAGATGCTATTTGGTGCTTTCTGGGTACTTTCAAAGTGTATGAGTCAATGAAAAAAAATTACAAAAAAATATTTTTCAAAAAATTTTTTTTTCAAATTTTTTTTAAAAATTTTTTTGGGGGGGGGTGACAAAGGGGGGTGCGGTCGCACCCATCGCACCCCCCCATCTGACGGCCCTGTTTATTCCATTTGTACAAAATATCTGAATAACAGTGTGTTTATAGATGAGAATGTGAACTCAAATTGTATAAAGAGATACATGAAGGTATGCTAGATAGAATTTTTAATAAATAGCAACGGAATAATTATTTAGGATTAAGATTGAACAAAAACTTCCCATAGTTTCACGAGCAAAACATTTTTTCATGAATCTTTCAGAGTTCATTGGCGTCGGAAGGGGAAGGGCATTGGGGGCGACCCCCCCCCCTCTTTCCCATACTTTTTTAGATTTCAAACCGAGCCTAGAATTGAAAGCTCTAGAGCTAATTAAAGTCAATGTGTAATAATGACAGAAATGATTCTATGTCAGTATATAGGCTACATCAAGCAGATTTCTCATATCATATTTATTTACCATAGGAACCCATACAGTATGTAAATACTTTGAAGAATAAGTGCAGTATATTTTAGTAAAAGTTTAAGTTTTTTAGTCAAAGTTGAGTTAAGTTTTCTTAAAACACATTTTTTCTTGTTTTCATTATTGGGAATATTGTGATAAGATATGTTCAGAATGAACCAGAGGGTTTAATTTTGAAAATTTTCTTGGGGCACGCCCTCCGAACCCCTAGATTGCGCTTCACGTGTGGTGCGCTTCACGCATGACCCATCCATACCCAAAAGTCGCCCCCTCCCTTGGCAAATCCTTCTGACACCCCTGGAGTATGTAATTTTTGCAAAATTATTACTTCACATGATTTGATCCTTACCTATAATCATAGAAATCTGTGTATTCATAAACAGCATCTCCTTCATGAAGTATCTTACAGTGGCCCTTATCTAGCATATGTTTCTGCACAGACTTAGTTGTGTAGAAACTCTTTCCTTTCTCATTACACCACAAACACACCTTTCCTACACCCACCTTTTCACCTGTAAAAATGGTATACAAATGCATCGACTGAATCTTAATACTTAACTAGAAAAACAGCAACTCCACGGAGTAGCAAATCCCACCGAACAAAACATGTTTTGATAAAAAAAATTGAGCCAAATACATCCACTGGTATTTGAATTATCAAAGATTATGTCTTTATGGTTGCCATTTTGAAATTCAGCTGTCATCTTTAGATTTCTTCTTTAGCAGAGAATGTCCGTCCAATGGTATCTGGGTTATCAAAGATTACTTTTTTAATGAAAAACGGCAGCCATTTTGAAATTCAGCTATCGCCTTTGCAATTTCTTCTGAAGCAGATCTCCTTTTTCCCTAAACATCAGCATATAAAATTGGAACCAAATCCATCCACTAGTATTTGATTTATCATTAATTACGTTTTTTTACGAAAAATGGTGGCCATTTTGAAATTCAGTGGTCATCTTGAAAATTTATTTTTGAGCAGATCTTCTTTGTCTCTAGGCATCAGCATATAGAATTTGAACAAAATCCGTCAACTGGTATTTGAGTTATCAAAGGTTACGTTCTTTTATGAAAAATGGCGGCCATTTTGAAATTTAGCTACCACCTTGAAAATCCCTTCTCGAGCAGAGCTCCTATGTCCCTAGGCATCATCATGTAAAATTTGAACCAAATCCATTCAATGGTAATTGAGTTATCAAAGATAATGTTTTTTTTATGAAAAATGGCCGCCATTTTGAAATTTAGCTGCCATCTTGAAAATCCTTTCTTGAGCAGAGCTCCTATGTCCCTAGGCATCAGCATATAAAATTTAAACCAAATCCATTCAATGGTATTTGAGTTATCAAAGATAACGTTTTTTTTTACGAAAAATGTCCGCCATTTTGAAATTTGGTGGCCATCTTGAAAATGTCTTCTTGAGCAAGGCTCCTTTGTACCAAGGCAACAGCATATAAAATTTGAACCAAATCCATCCACTAGTATTTGAGTTATTAAAGATTACATTTTTTCCGAAAAATGGCCGCCATTTTGAATTAAGCGGCCATATTGAAAATTCCTTCTCGAGCAGAGGTCCTACACTCATAAGGCATAAGCCTATAAAATTTGAATGAAATCCGTCAACCGGTATTTGAGTTATTGCCCGGACACACGAACGGACGGACGAACGGACGGAAGAACGGACGGAAGAACGGACAGACGAACGGACGGACGGACGGCTTCTCTATATTCCCCTCGAACTTCGTTCGGTGGGATAATGAGAATGAAATACTAAAGGGCAAAAAGAGATGTAAACTGAGAAAATCATTAAAATTAAAGGATTATGCGGAAATAAAGTCAAAACTGTGGAATTTAGAAAAATTGGCACCCTAATCATCAATTTTTGAAACTTACTATCAACTTGCCACTATTTCTTCTACTCCATTTAACTTGTCAATGTTTACCAGAAACAAGTAACCCCAGGTCTATAAAAATCATGTACAACACATTCATGTTCTTCCATAAATATGTTAATATTAAACGTTCAAGGGATAAAGAAACACATACCTAAATACACAATTAACCCTTCAAGGTCTGTAAGGTACTCTGCATCTGGGATGAAAAAGCTGTGTCTCTCTGTCATATGCTTGATGTTATTCTCAAGTGAAGCACTGACGTATGAACAAAATAAACATTCCTCCAATCCCAGCATTTCTTCCTCCCATTCATCTGAATCTGCATCCGATCCTGGAAAAGAATATTATAGTTTTACTTGCTGTTTTCATTGAAATGGAACCCCTGATTAGTTAATACTGTTCATTAAAACTTGCTGGAAGTCTTTCTAATTTCATAAACACCATGGAGGATGGATTTGGCCGAATGCCTGGCTTTGCCATTCTTATAATTATGTTGTTTTCAGATGTTACGGACATAATCATAAAATACTATATGTTTACAATAGAGTACCTCCAACATCCATGTCTTTTTCTTCTCGAACATTATCTGTTCTTGACCTTTGACCAGCACTTGAACTCTGACCTGAGCTCTGACCTTGCGCTGCACTAAGAGAGTCTTTTATGGCCATATTGATAGCATTCTTCTCAGCTATTGCATCAGTCTCTACAAGGCCCTTTTCTTTCTGTTTCTCAATTTGTTTCTGTAGTTTTGCTTTTTCTCTTGCTTCCATTTCCTTATGTTTCTTGGAGCTGATGTGATTAACATAGGCATTACTTGTACTGAAGTGTTTATTGCATATATTACAGTGCTTGGATTTATCCTCACTTTCACCAGCAACCTAAAATGTAATACATGTATCAGATCTAAAAATTTATAGGTTGAACAAAATCAGTAAAGGGTTTAAATTGTGTTTTCCTTATAAAGGTAGCAAAGTTGACTGTTATACTATTACATTTACTTAAAAATAGATTATCTTTGTGTCTCTGAATTCCATATGGATGGATGGATGGATGTCAGTAGGAGTTATGGGGCATAATGGCATGAATAATATGACAGAAGTCAGTTTATATCATTTCTCTAGCCCTCTATACACATCACCATTAGTATGCAGAATGCAGTAAAATGTTTAATAATGATTCATTCTGGAGAAATATATATACAAGTACTTTATAAGCCTTATTTTGAAAATAAATAAACTCCCATTTGAAATATAAATACAAATAACTACCTGAGCTCTCTGGGCAAGGACCCTCTGCTGGAACTCTTCGGCTGTTACAGGCGGCAGCTCTGCCACTTTGCGCTTTAAGTTATAACGATGCCAATCAGCTTTATAATGGGCCCTTTGCACTTCAGGGTCAGCAAATGCCACCCTGCAGCTAATGCAGGTATAAGCTGACATTGTCCAATCTATCTCTGGATCCCCTATACCTGGAAATGGTAGCAATATAACTGTAAAATATCCACCAACATTGACTATAATTGTTTCCTGATTGAGTTATCTCAGGGGAACATGACTGAATATAATAAAAATTAATTAATAAAAAGCTGTCAGATTCAGGATCACTTTCCCGTGTGTCAATCAATCATAAAAATAAGCAATAAGTGAAATATTGTCTCGAAAATTAAGTTCATATTTTAGGTGCAGAGTATTTCCTAAGCATCCGACTGTCGGACCAGGCTGACTATGCTATTTCATTTCACTATGTTGAACCGAAAATGATGTATCATTTAGAATTCTACACGCATCACCTACGTCCATATGACATAATCACTGGCACCCAGAACCTCAATGTGAGACCAAAAGTCTATATTACTAAACGCAACATGGATGTTGACACATATTAAACTATAACAGCACAGGATATTATAAAGCAACTATCGAACAACAAGTTTTATAAAAATAGGTAAGTAATCACCATAAAACATAAGATAACATAATTTTTTTCATGCAGTATCCTTCTAAAACTCTCGACTTGTATGACTCTGAACGCATCGACATCTATGTTTTTGTATTGCTGTACCAATTATCTATCAAATGATGTACTTCATTGTTGTTTTGAGATGAAAAGGAATTTTTTATTCAATTTTTCAGTTTGTGTATATGACAGGTTAGACCCCTTCCCTGTGTGTTGAACCATCAGATACCGTACTTATGCTTCATGATCGACAAATTAAGCAAATCGAGTAGCAAGTCTGTATGTTTAACTAATGCAAGGTAAAATGACCGTGTCATTCCTAAGCTCAGTCCCTCGCTCAGACCCTTTTACACGATCGATCAGTGGTAAATACAGTAAAACTTTAAATGTTTGTAACTACTTTGAATTTAACAAATAAGCAATCAGATGACTATATTGCAACAGTATATGAAAAAATGGAAACATATGTACAAGTCCTAACTTTTGTTTATTTCAGATAGTTATGTATAATGTGCAGCAAAGCTGTGGCCTTTTGTAATTTAGGGAGTTTCAGCCATGTTAATTTTTTCGAAAATAACATGGCAGAGAAGCATCAAAATAAAAGAGGCCACAGATATGAAAGCTAAACTACAAAACAAACTAAAATATTGCTTTTTTCAGGAAAGTATCATTACATTGTCTTCTTTTAGAATATCTGGTAGGAGTTCAATGGGAACTCCAGGAAATTCTGATATTTCACACTTTCTTTTTTCCAAATTTTCTGTAGCTCCTGTGTTGTTTGGAAACTTTGAAAGAAAATTTGGAAAAATATAAAGTGAGAAATATCAGAATTTCCTGGAGTTCTTATTGACCTCTTACCAGATATACTAAAAGAAGACAATGTAATGATACTTTCCTGAAAAAAGCAAGGAAATTAACACAAAATAAAGTATGAAAGCATGTGTCAATTTCCTTGCTTTTCAGGAAAGTATCATTACATTGTCTTCTTTTGGAATATCTGGTATGAGTTCAATGTGAACTCCAGGAAATTTTGATATTTCACACTTTATATTTTTCCAAATTTTCTTTCAAAGTTTCCAGACAACACAGGAGCTACCATTGACCTGTTTCCAGGTTTACTAAAAGTAGAAAGTGTAATGATACTTTCCTGAAAAAGCAAGGAAATACACACATGACTTCATACTTAATTTTGTACCAGAAAATAACATGTGCAGGTAAAGCAATTTTTTACCAAAATGTTACTTTCCAGCTGAACCTAAATGACTATATCTTTGTCAAATATTGACCGATTTTTATTTTGTTTACAGTTTTATAAAGCTGAAGCAGAGCTCTAGCTTATGCAATATATGTCTTATTTAAATAACATTAAAGGACAACTGAAATAGCTTTTCTCAACTTGCAGCTACAAAAATGTGGTTTTCTCCATTCTAAGCCCAATGTAGAGTTCTTGCGATAGCCATTATAAAATAAATGTTAGATAACTGCTGACGGTCATAGATAAAGAAATAAAACTAACTGATCAATTAAATTGGCCCCCACGTGATTAGTAACGTCATATACAAAATATAGCTTTGGTTTATTGGTACCTTAGTAATGACAACGTCACGGCAACCATAGGATTGTTGTGTAAACAAATAACAAAACATTTTGGCATTATATAATAGTATAAATAATAGTGACAATTTGCAACCAATGAAAGCATAGCACGGAAGTTAAACCCAATCACGGCAACAAGAACACTCAGATTAATAAATGAAAGCCGTGGTATTGGGTTTTACTTGTTGTAAACTAGCACATGTCATGTTGCATTCTGGGAGCCAATCCACCGTTGCAGCGCAATGAGGCTACAAAATCACCTCAACATTTGAAGAGTCGGCATTAACATGTGAATATCCACTTCAACTTTTTAAGTTCTATTTGTCATTATGGACACAAATTCAAGTATATTTGGACTTACTCGAGCCTCTAGCCATATTACTTGGCTAGAAGACCTCGCACGTGGACCACCGTGCACTCGTGAAAACGATAATTCGGAGTAAAAATAAATTCACGTGTTATTTTAAAAATCGTAATGAGAATATTTCATCAAATAGAATGTAAACGAATACTATCCTTTGTGAGATATTGCAAGCTTTCGTCTAAATTCAATCAACGGCTCCAAGAAAAATAGTGGATGTTCAACGACAAAAACTGGACGAACATGTCGTTAATGTCTGACATTATAGCTGGCTGCAAATTCAAAGTAGCGATCTAAATGATTTGAACTAATACACTGATCACTTCCTGTGTGTTTTGAAAGTTTTTGTGAGGTAATAAGACCAAAACTCGCAATTCAAATTGTGAAGTGAAAAAATTGAGGCTGGTTTATTTCAAATTTTATGATCACGACATGCCTTTTATGAGGCAGAACAAAACACACAGGGATCATGGCGTAAAGCTGCAATAGAAGCCTTACACAGGGCTTGCATTAACGGCGTCCCGTACATGTTAAGGACTCCAAAATAATTTTGAGGACGCAAAAATTGAAAATATTTCCGTTTTTTGGACGCAAAATTTTTTTTAGGTCAACTGGGGGTTTCATTAACAGCCAGCGGCCGGCGTTTTCGCCGCTTCAAACCCCGGTTAAGTTCAAAATTGAGAAAAAAATTGCCGGTCCAAATTATGAGAGATTTTGCTGACACATGAGACAAATCAATTAAGTTTGACATATCAAATGAAAGAATATAAATTGGCCTACCTTGTGAAGGCAAAATCTAAGTATACTAGGCAGATAATCAGCAGTGTTTTACAGAAACACTGAGATAATTAATATCTTACAATAATCCGGCCACCATTTTTATTGACCTACTCTCAAAACCAAAACATCATTGCTTTGAGACTTATGGGTCAGTTGCAAAAAACCTTTATCACTGTCCTGCCAACTTTCAATGGATATAACAAACACTATAATACAATTGATCCTCTTGGCATTATCTCACATCATAGTGAGGAAGCACAAAGGGCAACATTTGAAAACAAATAAAATATTACAAGTCAAAAATGCATATCAAACTATTGAATGTTGATCTTTATATTTCATTGAAATTAATAATGTGTCAGAAAGGAATATTGAGTTATTATTTACATCAGAGTGAGGAGGAACAAGGGGCAACATTGAAAAACACATAAAGAAATTAACAAGTCAAATAGATCAAATGTTCATATACAGTTTGCATTTAAGTGGCAGGAAAATACTGATTTCATGATTTTACAACGGGACACCCTATATATATCCTTCTATTTTCAATATTTTGAGTCGAGCACCTCCAAATATGAAGGAGAATGCGAGCGAAGCGAGCGGCGAATGGTCGAAAAAATTCAGCCTGTTGAAATTGCCAAAAGGCCTGTTGAAAAAATATTTATTGAAACCCCTGGGTCAATACTACAATGTGTTTACAACGATACCTAACAAAAACAAATAATTATGATCTCTAACCTTTATTTGAATCTTAAATAAGGCTCAACATGTTGAATATTTACAAATAATCATAATTCTCTCGAATTTTTTCGACTTTGTTTATTTTTAGATTTGAAACCATGACACGTAACAGTTTTTCCTATTCAGAAACAAATATGTTATTCATGAAATAAAATGTATTCATTGTCGAATGAACGAACATGCATTTATTCAGTCCGTACTTAAGGTGCTATGGAAGTTAACAGGAAATGACAAAACAGGAAGTGACAATTTTTTTTGCATTTTTAGATATTTTTTGAATAAAGATAACAGAGTTCTGGTTTGACCTCCAGTCAATTTAACTATTTCCACATATCATTTACATGACCAGGATCACAATGTGCATGGTCAGAATGACCCTAAACATGATGAAATAACCTTTTTAGCCCTTTGAAAGTGTGACTGAAAAAAAGCTAAAAGTAGGAGCGTAGGGAAGGTCACTGAACAGAATCTTTTGAATTTTTCAGAAAATGTGCCCAATATATTGCTCTAAATGATACAATCTTTGAAAATTTGATATCATTCATAGAAAAAGAAAAAAAATGAAAAAACTGATTTGAAAAGCGATCTATTTTCCTTTTTATGACCGCCATTTTTGTTTAAGACAATTTTCTAAAATTTCAAAGATTGTACTAGTTAGAGCATTATATTGGGCACATTTTCTGAAAAATTCAAAAGATTCTGTTCAGTGACTATCCCTACGCTCCTACTTTAGCTTTTTTTCAGTCACACTTTCAAAGGGCTAAAAAGGTTATTTCATCATGTTTAGGGTCATTCTGACCATGCACATTGTGATCCTGGTCATGTAAATGATATGTGGAAATAGTTAAATTGACTGGAGGTCAAACCAGAACTCTGTTATCTTTATTCAAAAAATATCTAAAAATGCAAAAAAAATTGTCACTTCCTGTTTTGTCATTTCCTGTTAACTTCCATAGCACCTTAACGTTTACTTCCGTTTTAAATTCGCGGCAAGAAATCAAAAACTAAAAAATAAGGGACACACTTTTTTTCAAAGGACACACTTTTTTAAAAAAATTGCGTCCTTGGGACTCACAAATTTTCTAACCTAATGCAAGCGCTGCTTACACTAAGGTAAATTTGGACCTACTAGGACGGAAAAATAGAGCACTGAATACACTGAGGTAAGAATTTATCACATGTAAGACAGCATGTGATTTTCATAGCTAGGCCTATAGTCTAGTAATTCTTTATGTCCCCCACTGTATATTAATTAAGGTTCAGCTGGAAAGTAACATTTTGGTAAAAAATTGCTATACCTGCACATGTTATTTTCTGGTACAAAATTAAGTATGAAGGCATGTGCGTATTTCCTTGCTTTTTTCAGGAAAGTATCATTACACTGTCTACTTTTAGTAAACCTGGAAACAGGTCAATGGTAGCTCCTGTGTTGTCTGAAAACTTTGAAAGAAAATTTGGAAAAATAAAAAGTGTGAAATATCAGAGTTTCCTGGAGTTCCCATTGAACTCCAACTAGATATTCTTAAAGAAGACAATGTAATGATACTTTCCTGAAAAAAGCAAGGCAATTGACACATGTCTTCATACTTTATTTTGTACCAGAAAATAACATGTGCTGGTATAGCAATTTTTACCAAAATGTTACTTTCCAGCTGTACCTTAATCTTTTAGAATATCTGGTAGGCGTTCAATGAGACCTTCAGGAAATTCTGATATTTCACACTTTCTATTTTTCCAAATTTTCTTTCAAAGCTTCCAGACAACACAGGAGCTAACATTGACCTGTTTCTAGATATTCTAAAAGAAGACAGTGTAATGATACTTCCCTGAAAAAAGCAAGGAAATACACACATGCCTTCATACTTAATTTTGTACCAGAAAATAACATGTGCAGGTATAGCAATTTTTTACCAAAATGTTACTTTCCAGCTGAACCTTAACACGAAACTCGAGTAACCATTTCTGACCAGGAGTTTGCACTACTCAATGATTTTAAGTTTATACAAACCTGAATCTGCACCTAATGAGGACGTCATTTTTTAAATTCTCTTGAAGATAAAGAACTTTCAAATGGATCAAAATTGTAAAAATAAGCAAAATATTTACTCACGTGAAATTTCAGGATTTTATGCAACTTCCGCTTTCCAAAATTGAACGCATGCGCATCATATACTTCCTCTTACACCGGAAATAATCCAAAATGGTACGGTATTTTTATGCCCTCGAAAATCTAGATTAATCGTCGTACTGTTGGTATAATAGCCTTGTAAAATTATATTTATAGTAAGAAAATCATATCTTACATTGTTAAATGTGCAAATCAGTGTATGATTATGCATCTTATTGCCTGATATTGTGGACTGAATGTTGAGTGATATTATTTTCAAAAACAATATTTAAATATTATTATTTTGTTTCTATTTCGTGTTTTTAATGCCAAAAATGAATAGAGAATAGAATTGCATCGATCATAAATGACAGATGATCATTTTTACATTTTTTGACATACATTTGAAGTTATTGATAATGTTCTTTGGTGCTTTTTTGTCACCCAATTGCCTTTCTCTCATTGCAGTGCTGTTTACTTTGACTGTAAAGGTATCATGATTTTTTTAGGCCAAGCGCACCAAGAAGGCTGGTATTGTTGGAAAGTATGGTACCAGATATGGTGCTTCCCTCCGTAAACTCATCAAAAAGATGGAGGTCACCCAGCATGGCAAATACACATGCAGTTTCTGTGGAAAGGTAATACATGGTTTTCATTCAGATTGCGCTTATAACCCGAAAGAGGGTAGAATGTCTCAACCTACCCAATAGTCTTACAATAATTCCATTGATCTTTTAATTCCTCATTTTTTAGGTTTTATGGACGAAATAAACATTGCAATGACTACAGTTTGTGTTACCATGGGTTCCAAAATACATACTGTATTCTCCCTAATAGACACACACACTCCATTTTATGCACACCTGACGTTTCCAAGAAAGACAGGCAACTTGAATCTCAAAAATCAAGAAAATTGAAATGATTGTAACTGATCAGTCACAAGAAAATTTTTCAAGAACCCGAGACTTTGGAGGCGTTTAAAGAAAACAACCTCACTTCGAATGACTCTTAACTGAACTTGATGACGGAGGAATGACATGTCATCATCAAGTTTAGTTAGAGTCATTCTAAGTGAAGCCATTTTCTTTAGATTTCTCAAATATCGCGGTTTAGCCGAAATCTCAGGTTTATAAAACAAAATAATTTTGGCCACCATCTTGAATGATACTAACTGCATTTAGTCATCCAGCTGTGGAACAGTGATTATATAGATATAAAACATATTTTCTGACCTTCCTCACATTGTCTACATCTTTCAGTTTTGCACAGAGTGCACTAATGTACCTAAAAAAGATTGTTAAGAATTTTTTCTCCATAAAATGTATAAAAACGATAAAATTCAGTGACAGTAGGTCACTAAATTTTCTCTCTATTTAAAAATTATTTCTATTAACCTTAGCCTATGCATTTTCTATTGCTCCTGGCCAATATATTATCTCTATATTGTTACTAAATATATGTGTTGTTCAAATACATGAACATATATGGCAGTTTTATTTTGATTTTCACACTATTTTGTCAAAAATGCCTCAATAAAATGTATAATATTGCAGAATTTCAAATTTTGGCTTGAAGAATCTTGATTCTTTCTTGCAGAATGTTGTATTTTGTAGTACAGAATTCTAGTATCTGTGAATACCTTTTTTAACTGGTAAATGCCTATGTGCAAACATCTCTCTATCCAAGTATTGCAGAATGTTACAGGTCTACACACATATTAGGCTTAAACTTCTCAAGTGTGTCATGTATATCAATTATATGTAAGGAAATAAGATTGAATAATGTTTTGCATGTTCTCCAGGAATCAATGAAAAGGAAAGCTGTTGGAATTTGGAACTGCAAGGCATGCAGGAAGACCGTCGCTGGAGGAGCATATGTTTATAGGTACCTTGAACTTATTGTATTTTCTGATTAAAGATAAAGCACACCCCTTGATTTTTTTGCAACAGGTTTATTCATATACTTACCACCCATAAGATACTGACTCTATGTTTACAGTGTCAATTTCATGATTCGTACACAGAAATGAATTAGTAACAGGATGGTTAGGAATTCAAAAAACCTGCTCTGAATCTGATTGGCATTTTTGGTCCGAGTCACATGACAGGAATTCCCTTTAATGGTAGAAAACTCAAATGTGTTCAATTCCAACAGTTGAATGTTCTATTGATTTTTACATAACATAGGCAATACTGTGCCCATGAGTTGGTCTCAAAATATATCTAGGGTATGTAAGATATTATAAGCAATTATAATGGGACATCACTGATTGTCCAGGTCACACCGGAATAGCCTGACAACAGTAAAGTCAGATACCACAGTACCACTGTCACAATTGGCGGACATAACCGACGCTTCAATTAGATTTTCATGAACTGTATGTTTAATAGAACACCTAGACTAAATTCCTTTGGAACAACAATCAGTCAAAGTGTCTTTATACTCATTGTACAGTTAACCTTTAGCATGCTGGCTTATTTCAGCAAATATATCCCACGTGACTGGCTTATTTTTCAAAGAGTGCAAAAAATTATATGCCTGGACTAAATAATTAATATCTCAATAAATACTAAAGGAATCTGGATAACATTTTCACAAAGGGAAGATACACTGGCCTGGCTCATGAAAAAAATGTTCTCATGAATTTTTTCATACCTTAACATGACTTGGCATAAATATACCATGAATACTCCTCCGGAATCCGCCGCTTCGCCCTTGGGAAGATTAAACGTCTGCTCAGAACTCAAAACTGAATTTGCAGCGATCGAATGTTCAATTTTTCAGTTCAGAAAATATTCTAGTTTCTATTTTCGATGACCATTATCGGCTTCCAAGAGCCTAGAGAGCTCGAAATCGCAATCCATTTCCTCCACATTTTTGTTGTCATCGCATTTTGCCGCCATTTTGTACGATTTGTTCACTAAAAACGACTAAAACACTGTTTGAATTGTTGAATTGAGAAATATTTTTCGAAATATCGCCATTCTAGGTCAACAGGAAGTCATGTGAGGCACTGAATAAATCAAGCAATCTAATTGGATCATAAGAATGGCGCGAAAAAGTAAAGTTTTTAAAAGTTTGAAATCAGGTTGATGGGTCCGCCGGCAGTCACACGGGATAGTAAAGCATGGGCAGACTCACTCGCCGGCAGCATGCTAAAGGTTAATAATGTTCTACCATTGAAATAAAGTCTTTAATTCAACCGATCAAAATGAGATACGGGAAAAACGGACACTGTAATTACCATATGCTGTTGTCTTTCTAAACTCAAATTCAGATTCCGTTGTCATTGACGATATCAAAGACACTATATTGTGGCGATTCACCACCCAATTTGATTGAAATAGGTATTTCATATGAAACTTCATCACAAGAGCTTAATCCATGCACAGAATTAGCAACAATAAAATCCCATGAAATGAGGACCAAGTGATTAAACAGTTGAAGCGACTGTTATGTCCGCAATTTGTGACAACAGTATCTGACTTTACTGTTGTCAGGCTATTCCCGTGTGCAGGTGTACATACATTAAAGGACTTGTGCTTAAAATCATTCAATATCTCAGCAACATGTGCCTTACACTATTGACACACTTAATCTGTTAATACAAACCTTATTTTCTGTATGCAAATTTGGCAGTGTTCTCTTCAAGATTTCATCTAAAAGTGGCTGCAAAATTATTGTTTATAAATGAACAAGGTCGATTGTATTTCTTAAGAATCTCAAGTGGGGGAACCCCTCATAGAAAAATTGTAATCTTGTAAGACTAGCAGTACCTTTTGAAACTATGATAACCCTTTTTCATAAGGGTAAACACTTAGCTTACTAGGGCTTTGTTTCTTGAATGATCATGACATTATTTTGCTCAAGTTTGTTTAACACATTTTTACTCTGTATGGTGGTGATTATAGATATCTATACTATTACAGAGTTATGTTTTCTTTTTCCAGCACAACAGCAGCTGCCACAGTCCGAAGTGCAGTGAGGCGTCTACGAGAGACCAAAGAAGTATAGACACTTTCAGAATATCTTGTAAAAGTGATTGTACAGTTAATAATAAATCATGTGTGACAAGCTGGATACATGCTTGTTGTTTTCTCAGTTTGACATTAGAGTGCACTTGGAAGTATTGGATTACATAAAGAAGGCATCTGCCTGTCCTCCATGTGTCTGTTCAGGTGGTTTCCTGTCTCAAATTCGAGTGTCCCATTTTTCTTATGTCATCCCCAGAAGTGGTGACATATTGTTATACAGTCTGGTAAATTTACTTCATAATCACCAGTTGAGCCTAAAAAATAAGAAATGTAAAGACCATTGTGCAGTAATCTGTTAATATATGGAAAAGCATAGTTTGTTTCACGTTCTCGTTCATGAGTGACATTTGTATATCTTAAATTCCTTCTAAATTGGTTTATAAAGTCTATAGCCTCTTGTATTTTGATACTTTTCCGCCATGTTGATTCTAGAAAAATTATGAAAAATTAAGATGGCTGATAGACCTCAAATTATAGGAGAGCACAGGCTTATTGTACTAAAAACTTAATAATCTGAAATATATACAAATGTCATTCATGTGCAGTATGTTTTTCCATATATCATTGCGCGATGGTCTTTAGATTTCTTATTTTTTAGGTTCAACCGATTATGAAGTAAAGGATGAGTCTGGGAATGAGTCTGGATATCGACTTAGAAAATATTGAAAATTGTAATGTCTGAAAAACCAACTCAATCACACATATTATTAAACTTCAATACCTTATCCTTCTTCTGAGATTACAAAAATATCAATTTGTATCACAATTGATGAAGAATATTGGCATCAAAGACGGTGCATACTGCATATCACTTTGTCAGAATTGAAAAAAAAAATCAATGGCAAATATTAAATGAATTATTCATACAAAAAGTTTGAAACATATCCTCCAAAACATTGCTTACTTTCTTTGTATAGACATTGAATAGTATTTCTGGATAAGTGAATTGGTGTTTATCTGGGTAATCAAGGGATTATAGTCACTCAAAGTTACTGAGCAT